AATAATAATAGTAATAATGTGATTTTGTTTCTCTCGTTTTCAGAGGCCGAAGTGAAAAAACGGTGGAGAACACTCCGGGACTCGTTCATGCGGTTCCACCGGCTGCAGCGGACATTCGGGCCCAAGGGAAAGAAGAAAATGTGGATTTACTACAACGAGATGGCATTTCTGATACCGCACATCGAACCCAGAGAGTAATGAATGAATGATATCCGGAGAATAATAATATTGTTTTTTTAACACGTTTCGTTGTTTCCGCACGTATACAGCTACAAGATGTCCGGAGCCTTCGACGGTGCCGAATTCAACGACGAGTGCAACGCGGACATGATGGACAACAACAGCCGGACGGCCGCCGACACCCATGCCGCCGACATGGTGTCCATCGCGTCCGACATGTGCGAGGCCGAGTTGACGACGCCGCCGATCGGCAGCGCGCCCGGGTGCCAGTGCTTCAACGGCATCGGTCTGCACGTGCCTCAGGAACCGTCGGCCATGATGATGATGGAACCGGGCGGCGTGGTCGGCGGTGGCGTCAAGCGCAAGGGGTCGGACGACTCGTCCGATTCGGCCACCGACTCGGACGAACACTTCGCGCTCAGTTGCGTCGCGTCGCTGCGCCGCCTGCCAATACGGAAAAACGCCGAAATGCGCATGAGGATCTTGCACATGCTCTACGAGGCCGAGTATGGCGAAGAGCTAGTTTTGCGATGAATTCACTCGCGTCTATAGTCGTGATTTTTATATTTTTCGCGACTTTTGTACATAATGTTTCACTATTATTATTATTATTATTATTATTATTATTATTATTATTTAGTACACTGCTATATAGTAATTATATTCTTATTTTGACATGCATATTATGTTGTATTGATGTATAGCTGATGATGTATAATTTTAGGGCCAAAACTATTTTACTTACCTGTAATATTACATTGTGGCAATTGTATACAATTTAAGTGATTTATTTGTAATGATGAAAAATAAAAAAAATAAAAACATAGAATTTTTTTATACATATAAATAACCAGTTTGWTTTTATTTGTAGTGTTTATTGCCTCTGTGTGTAGCCATGAACACATTATATTCCTATGAATTATAAACGGGTAATTCTGTAAAGTAGCCATTACACTGCAGTCCGGGTTTAATTATAGTGAGCTATGCTTCTGATGTACTGGTAAAAAAAACAAAATTAAAAAAAAACACTGAACAAATATTTACATCATAGGTATATGTAATTTTGTGCAAAGTCGAATATATACAACTTATTATTATAGGTACATTAAAACACTAGGTGAGACGAAGAATTCCATTTTCATATATTATATATGTAGGTAGGTAGTAGTATATTATTAAAGCGAGCATAATATATTCAATGTGTAACATGGCTATATATGTGTATTATGTTGAACAGTGTAATATTATGAAATTAAAACGAGACGTGCGATTTTTATAAATTCGATTTCATTTCTTCAAAATCAATTTTTATTGTTTGCGAATCAATCTCTTTTATGATTATAATATATTACGCTTCGATCGATCAAAACGTAGGTAATAGACTACCTATAACTTCGCGATATATTATATTAAAATTAAAAATGTCCGTACGCGATTACCAGCTGCTCGTGTATGAGTGTGATTGTAAATAGCCGTATTTAGGAATTTGACACCAATGGGTAACAAAAAAAATACGCCTCATTAATCATTATATAAAATACAAATTTAAATTATAAAAAGATTAGCCGCCCTCTCCTATTCAGCCGCCCGGGGCAACAGTACCCTGTAGCTCTCCTTTAAATACCGCCCTGGATTGTAATATTTAAAACTTAAACCTTTGAAATAATAT